CTAGAAATTTAGTTTGAAAACTGGAGAAGGTCAAAACAAAATTCTGACTGCCGAGCCCCAGGTACTCTGAAGAAACCGCGGGTGGCAGGATTACAGTCTGTTAGAATATATTGGATAATGTACTGACTACACGTATCCTATAACGAACCAACACACTTCCCGTCGTATTGTTCATTAGACTGATACACGATGTTCAAGGAATACATGTTACTGACAGGGCGGAGGAGCGGTCTCATTAAGACTGTACGTGTACGAGTATAGACTGTCACTCTACGGTATCTTCTGTAATTTTTCTATTTTCTATTGAGGGACTGCTTTATTTATTCTGCTCGTCTAAGTCAGTTTAGTTTATTTACTTTATTAAATATTATTGAGCATATTTTGCAAAGGATGATCAAAACGGACTTCCCACGGTTGCACGGTGACCTCGCGAAGGTCAGTTGCTTTTGTATCGGATGCGCGTTGTGTAACGGACAAAACGTGTAAAAAACCTTCGATGAGTCCGCGGAAAATTTTCAACAAATCGAGTTTGCGTAAGTACGTGCCAGGAAAGAAACTGACGCGCTTAAGTGAAACTAAAAAAAGTCAAATCTAGTGCATGAATGTGAATTTAGATTTTAAATGGTTAATGTATTATCGTGTCAAAAATATTTTTTTAGTTTTGATTTCGTACATGTGTATGCGTTTTCATTTTAAACAAACAAAAGGTTTTTTATCTGTGCGTTAATGCTGTTGCCTGTTTGGGTAATGGTTGCGCTTCGATGTCCAAGAGCAACGGTTACACGGACAGGTCAGCTGCTAGCTAATCAAACCATTTGCTTATTTAGGCGTCGTTACGTCCCGAATCTCACGCGACTGCACTTGCACGCGGCGTAAAGCATACATAGAGCAGCTCAGGTCTCCAATTACGCTTTCGTGCTCTTTAAAATAACCCCATTAACATTGCATTGGGAGAGGTCAGTTGCTCTGCGTAAGCTTTACGCGACGCGCAAGCGGCAGTTGGGTAAATAAACATGACGCCACGGAAGTAAGAGGTAAACGATTTGATTGGTAAGCCAGAATTCTGGGATGGATTTTCAGCTTATCCGTCCGTGTAACCGTTGCGCTTCGATGTCGAAGCGCAACCGTTTCCCAAACTACGAGTAACTCGTTACACTCCTGCACAGATCAACAAAACTGGTGTGTGTTCGGACCAAAAGTAAATCCAGCGACCCAAATTCACGCTCCAAAAATCATAATCAACTTTTCGACGTTATACCACATTTACCCTATTAAAAATGAGTTTTTAGTTCCACTTCGGTGTTCCGTTTTTTTCTCGACACGGAAGCGTACTCCACTTACTATTGGACTAATTCGACGATAATTTTTTCGCTGAGTCATGGATAGTTTTTACGCGTTTCTTCGTTACCCGACTGCATCGGTTACCCAAAAGCAATTGACCTCTACCATTTAAAGGGACTTGCAACGTCAAAATTTAGATGAAACATTCAAATTTAGAACTCAATATTCGCACTTCATATCCAAAATATGTGCAGCTATGCGAGTAACAAGTACAATACCTGCGGCCCAGCTGAATTAAACCGTTTCTCTTAATAAAAGAAACTAATTTTTTTAAGTCTGTTAGGACATCTCAATTTCGATGTTTCGTGCTTACTCTGCACTTATCCTGAAGTTCGTTATCAAGCTGGCAGAACCTGCTAACATGAATAGGATAACATCATAACTGAAACATTTGCAGCATAGTCACCTGGAGGAAACGTTCTTTAACGGGGCAGGCATTCATTTATCACAACGGCCGCATGCAGCAACTTGCTGATTAAATAAAAAAACTTCAGATTTCAAAAAATCTAAAAAGAAAACGCAAGCAAAAATATTAAAACAAAAAAGCATAAGAAAACCTAAGCAACTAAAGCCAAGAAAGCCTAAAACACTTAAGAACGCTTAAGGAAATTTAAAAAACCTAAAAAAGAAAACATGAGAGAATAAAAATATAAGGAAGCATGGGTAAACATAAGAACAACCAAGAAACCTGGGGGAAAAGCCAAGATGGCTAAAATGTCCAGTTGCCGAAGTGAGCGTTGGCCGAAATGATTCTGTGCGGCCGGTTAGAATGATTTCGAGATTAATTAAGAATTTTTTCAGTGAGAAGAAGCAGTGAGGCCAGGTCAGGGCACTGGACCCTCCCTTCCAGCTACCCCGAATCGGGTTTTTGCTTTCAAATGCTGCATTCTAGGTGAACTGGATTGATAGCTACTGAGTAGGTAAATTCGAGGTAAATTTTCTGATAGCGAATTCGCAATCAGGGAGTCCAATTTACCTAAAATCCAACATTTGAAAGCAAAAAATCGAATAAAAAACTCCCTTGAGAGGACCGCCTGGGTAACTGGAACGGAGGATCCAGTGCCCTGGACCTTCCCTCACTGCTTTTAAAAAATTAATAATGGGTTTTTTTAAAAAACTGACAGCGCTAATTAATTTGTTTGAGTTTAAGGAAGCCAAACAGGAGAAGAAAATTTCATTGAAGATGTTCTCGGGATACCTGACGGTAAATGTGCAGATCTTATGCCTAGGCGAATTTAACTCGTTTGGGCTTGAGGGGGGTCTCCGGTGCTCCTGACTCCTAAGCATTACCCTAGTTTGCTCGCCAGCCTGTGCAAATGCAGATGCGAAACTGTGGCAAAGACACTTCCACAATCCACAGTACACGTTGTTGACGTTAATAGTACGAAGTATACATATTTATTGTCGTTTAATAAATTAATGAATTTACAGTATCATCCAAGCGTGATATAGCCACACGTCGCCATACGATCTCGTACAGATCGTTATATTCCACACGGCACAATGCATCGCTATGTTCCACAAAGAAAGTAAAACGGCCGTCGGCTTCTTGTCAAGAAATTTAAAATATTTTACTGTTTTTCGCAAAATTTCTAACAATTTTTGTAGCGAAGACGTGCGTCGGCTTCGCGCGAAAGTTCTGTTTCTCTAACTGAGTACATGATGCAGCCTTACACCTTGATCTTTAACATATGCTGCACGAAATTTGGAATTATTCTATTTCTCATAGAATTTCTGGCACTTTTACAGCGGATTTGCTCGTTGGCTTTGCGCTTCGCGCGAAAAGTGCCAGTGGATAGTGATGTACCTACTTTTGGATCCGCTGCCCTGTTTTACACGCAAATTGAAACAGTTTAAGTGTTTTTAAACATCTCAACCACTGTCTGCAGCAGAGTATTGCGTCTTCTCTTGGGTGTTTTGGACCATTTCGCATAATGCTCATTACCCGAAAAAACAAGCTAGAAATCGGCAAAATTTGTTGGAGTACGTACAATGGTCACGAATTAGCTTTACATTTCGTACGCCGCCCCTCCAGGGGTGTCCATCATTGCATCATTGACTTCTCACTATTTTAGGCCCTGGAACTTATGGCATCCACGGTGACTCATTAACAGGCTTATCTGACCACGGGGTCTCACATAATCAAGTGGGCAAGGGCCAATAACTAGAGATGTCACCAGAACATTAAGAGCATTTGTTGCACTTCAAATCAACAAAATTGGGTGATTAGAAGCTGAGATCATTGTCCGGTAAGGAGAGGGCGGGAATCGTGGCACAGATGATCAGTATTCAATATACTATTCATATAGGATAACTGTTGGGTGCCGCCGTGCCGTTATCGCGAACATACTTTGTCCGACTAGGGTGCGATGAACATCCGGTTTTGCCATAGCTCCCAACGCTACTGGCATGGGTACAGATATACAAGTCAAGTGCCTGCTTTGTTTGCAAAAACGAAACGCGCACTGTACAACGTACATAGCTAGGGTCATAGTTGGGTGTTCATCGCACCTGTCGTGCAGGGTATGTCTAATTTTACTGTAGTAGTCTACAGCAGCCAAGGGTTCTCGTAACTAAACAAACTTCTGTTGTTGGACAAATAAACGTAAGCCCGTGGTAACCCACCAGACACCTGACTAGTACTGTATATCCAATGGCATCCATGGTAACAAATTTTTCTAATTCGTAATTAAGCAAGATTCATGATTAAAAATGTGACTGCTGGACGCCAACGGCGCGGCGCGCTGAACGGCTCCGTATGCCGATCCCTTGTTCCAGCTGGGATTTCGGCAAAATTGGAACCACGTCGCATACGTCCGAACGACGCCCCGAGGGATGCATCTTTGCCAGACAGAGAGGGATGTGCTTACTTGTTAGCGTGGGACGTCACTTGAGTTGTGACGGTGACGTCCCGCGCTAAGCACATCTCAGAACAAGTCAACGGCTGCAAGCGCTGGTGCAGCGGCGTTGGAAGCGGAAGCGAAAGAAAAAAAGAAAGGCTGTATTTGTATTCGGCAGATACATCTTTGCAACGATAGCTTTCGAAACAATCGGCCCTTGGGGACCGTCCGCTATCGCCGATTCGCCATTAACAAAGCGCTAGGCAAACGACTCGAGCAACAAATAGGCCGACACCCGCTCCCATGAAGGCACCTTTGTACGCCAAAGATTGTCACTGGAGATACAGCGGCTCTCTGACACTTCGGCTACCAGACAATTCGGCCGCCCGTTCAATTCGGCCGTAAGAAAACCTAAGAATTCTAAAAAACTTAAGAAACCTAAGAAAAACAAAAAATATCAGGCAGCCGAAGTGTCATGCCCCCGAAACGGCAGGATACCGTACCGCGATACGGCTCGGTAACGCGGCATCAGTCATGGGAACGATGGAAGGAGCAGAAAAGTTTAATGAAATTATGATGTTGTAAAAAATGCTGATGTTTTTTACTATTATAAATTTACGTTGCACCACAGGTAAAATAAAGAACTGCTGGATCAAGCATTTGCGTGAGAGACGTGCTGCCAGACACATGGTAGTATGTCTGCTGTCATTGTGTCACATTCATTAGCAATTTAGCATTTAACATTAGAGAGAGCTATGTACAGTCTGCTGCCGTGCTCTTTTGCATACGAAGTACAATATACTATTTTAGATTAAATACCATTCATCCGGCGGTCCCAACTGGCATCAATCAATTCCCACGTGATAAGCAACTGCAATTAGGATAACCTAGTTAAATTAGCCTGCGTACTGTTGACAGCGTCACCAAAATGCTATAAACAACAATTACAACATTAGGAACCGTAAATTAAATTAGGGATTGTTTCTTTGTCTGCATCCAGAGCAGCGAAATTGCGATTAAGCCTATGTCACGAGCACATTCCTGTCGGCGGCCTCGAAGAACACGCTGTAACACCTTTCCAGTTCCACAAGCTAATTATTTTTTCCATGGCCTTTTGCTGACCGATAAGAAATATAGTGGAGAAATGTAGATCCAGGACTTTCACTTTATGCTGCATTAGTAGGTGCCACAAAATCATTTGCAAGGTACGCCGCGATCGTTTTGAGGGCGTACAGGTTTATCATATCCCTACCGGAAACAGTAAGACGTTAAGTTGGAAGAATAAAAACTGATTTGGTAGGTTTGCTGCATCCAGAACACCAAAATCTGTACCGTCGGATCTATAACACAATGCAGGAATAGGAAGACAGGCTTTGAATCCATTATCCAACATACAAGTACTTAGTGTACTGATCACTCCCGTCGGATCGCGTTACATTTCGGCTGCAGAGGATCACTGTACGTAGATTTCGAAGCCGTCTACGTAGGGTGTTGTGTCATATACACTAGCGCCATCTGGCTGAGTCATGCACGAGTTACTGGCACTCACACCCACACACGCACCCTCTGCGTGACTGTAAGTACCTGTCATGCGGTCATGCGACGCATGCCTAACTTGTAAAGTAAATTTAAGAATGGAGGGCTAATAACATCATTAATGATTAAGTCACCTACTCTAGAGCAACGGTTTATTGTTTATTGTACTCCATGGCGAATTTTAACGGGGCACGTGCCACCCCCTCGGAATTTTTTCAAAAGTGGGCAGGTAAAGCCTTTAAAGGGGAGTACTGATTAAAAATTAATGTTAACCAGTTTTGCAGTTTTTGGGCAAAATTCCAGCGATTTTCTCGCCAAGGCACATTCCGCGGCTATAAATTCAAAAAAAATTTTTTTTTGCAGAAAGGTTGAACAACTATCTAGGATCCTTAAAAAATTATTTGATGTGCCATGGTCAACAGGGCGTGGCAAAAAAATTTAAAATTAATTTCTACACTGTGTTATAGTCTGTAGCCCTGTACCGTGCACGCAATGCACCGCATTCTAGGTTATCTTCTCTATCTCTATACATTCATAGCGTAAGCCTTAGCAAAATTCCATTCGTATCTCCCTTTTGCAAACGATTCACTGAACTAAACTTTGATGTCTATAGATCATTCAATAGCAAAATAGCGCTGAGATCATAGATTTGCAGAAACGGGTTAGTTTTCCAAACTATTCAAGACTAAAAAGAAAATTTCGAAAAGGCTTGACATACGAAGTCTATGGGAAAAGTTAAGAACCCACCACTGCAGAACCCACCACGTCACCACTGTCTCCCACAGATGCACAGAATGAGATAGCCAGAAACGCAGTTCTACAGTTCCGCTGAAGCGTTACACAGAGTCAAATTCAAACCTTAGCGCATGTCATTCGGCAGCTTTTGAGCTTATTAGTTTTTCATTAAAAGTCAGTTTCGAGAAAGAAAATATAAGGGTTGAAAGAAAATTTTCAAAAGCGGGGACCGCAAGATCTGCAGATAAAGTAGATGCCTGCCGTAGCGGTTTGATCAGTTTTAAATTTCCAGTGCTGTCACGGGCGGGTGCGGTTATCTTTGTTGCCGAATCTCGTCTGCAACGAGTTGATCAGACCCTCTCTGGGAGCAAATTTTTCGAAACTTTTGTTTTCGGAGAAGCAACGTAGTACGGTTTAAAATTCGTTATGTATCGCATGGTGCTTGGTTATAAAATGATTATGCATTACATCTTCACAATATAACAGACAAAGGGGTTTGCAACTTTGGGATACGGCCAGGGTCTTGGATTAACTATGTCATCCACTTCCTGGTTACAGCAGTAGTAATCGTAATGTGACTAATGTCTGCAACATAATTATTTTCAATGCGTAAATGTTGCTTTGCTATCTGTAGTCTAAACGCCGTATAGGTAGACCATCTAATCAACATTTACAGTACACACAACATTAAAATTATTTTAAAATTTTATTGCAGTTGCTGGGGCAATAGCGGTTCCGAATCAATTGATTGCTATCAGCGGGCAGAGTAAATTTAAAAAGGGCAGAATGGGATGAGCAGACATAATTTTGGGGATAAACTCGAGCGGAATTTGCTTGATGGATGATCAGGTAAAGATTAAAATAATCTGTTAGAAAACTGAACAAAAATCGTAACGTTTCCGGAATAAACATTTTAACTTTTTGATGGTCGAGTTCTTTCCAGTCAGTGGGCCCGAAATACTCAAACGTTCACACAAAAAGAATCGGTAAATTATGTTATCGGTAGAATTGTGAACTAATGGATAGCTCAGAGTAGCCATTTGTCAGTCAGGTATAAACAAAGCGTAAATTAATTGTCCTTTTGTCATTACAGTATTTGCCAGTGAAATTAAATTATTTTACGCTTCATTTTAACAACGTTAATTTTGCAGTAATGAATTAATATTTTCTGCAGCAAGTATTCCAACGTTGATTTATTCCGCGCAGTTTGCGCGGGGTCTACTAGTCTCTTCTCTATATAATAATCGCGTAAGCTTTAATCTTTGTTGAGTTCGCCAGCTCGATGCACTGGACCAAAATGCCATGACCATGTATCATTCGATACCCTTAAAGTGTAGATTTGCCATCACAAATCCGTTTCTGGAGAAAAGCAAACGTTTGAAAGAAATCCTTCAAAAGCCTTAACATATAAAGTCTATGGGGGAAAGCTAAGAACCCACCAGTGCTAAAACTGACCAGTGACCACCCCACCACTGTCTCAATAGCTAACACGCTTTTTGACAATTTCGCTGACTCTGAATGGAACTTCAGATTACTGCGTCGCCGTACATGCCGATTGTACATTTCTGATCAAAGTTTAGACACTGAAAAGAAAATAACTGGACAAACATGGCCGAAATGAACTGGGACCGTGGGACGATTCTCAAGTCTGTTTTTAAGTAAGTGACTTCCGTGGTGCCCGGGTGGTGGTTTTGCGCAGTTATGCTGTAAAGTGCCTTCATGGACGGGCGCGGTTCCCTTTCTTGCTGAACTGCCGGTGATTTGTAAAAGCCGATTTTTCGAAATCTGCAGCTTTGCACTTTCCAATAGAAAAAGCTGTTTAAGAAGCGCAAGGGGGCAACTTGGCATCTCTAAGGTTTGCATCGAAAAAACAACAAGCTGTTCGCTCGGCTTGGTACGTGGTGATCGAGACCGTCTTATACATATTATTTTAGTGCGAAGCACCACAGTGGAGCTTCGAGCTAACAGTAAGGGAAAATGCTTCATTATTAAGTAACAAGGGACTTCTGGAACACTCGAAATCATTTTTTTAAATTTAATATATGGCGTAATAGAAAGCGGAGTAGCAAACATGCAAGAAATTCACGTCACAGTTCCCGATTTTGAAAAAGCTAAGAGCGGAGAAGGAAACACAATGAAATGCTCACGTCTTGGATTGCCGAAAGTGGTCTGACTGTGTTCTGTTGTCAAATCAGTAGTAAAAAAGGTGGCTGTCACTCCATTAGTATGCCGATTGTTAAACTGGGATAATTATAAAGGGCAACAGTGGTGTTCGCGGTAAAACTGGGATTCGAAGTTAGTAAACTGTTGACGTGTTGTGCAGCTTCAAAAATCGCAGAATGACAAAACAAGAAGGGAGAACAAGTTCTAAAATACAATAACTTATGAAGTCTATATGCACCAACTGCACGAATTTTAGCTGATGGTGACTGATCTGGAAATAAAGAAATAGGGCGGAAGCTAATGAGAAAATTTGTCCGGTTTTGGGGAGAAATATAGGTACATTTCAGTCTTTGGTCATCTCTGCACTCGACTAAAGGCGAACGCAGGTTTCCATGAATTCTATCGTAAACTGTGGTCTCTAGTGTATAACAGAATTCTACGCTTCGCTCATAAAACCTACCCATGATCGGTAGGTCCTATACTTATGTACCTGCAGTTATGACTTTTAATTTTTGCACTGGGTCATGATTTGTCCATCGCATTATTTATGCCGCGCAATTTGGGGGTCAGCTAGTAATATCATAATCGCGTAACCCTTAATCTTTGTTGCGTCCGCCAACTCGATACGCTGAACCAAACTGCCATGACTATGTATCATTTGATAGCCCTTAAAGTGTACATTTGCCATCCTAAATCAGTTTGTGGAGAAAAAGATACGTTTGAAAGAAAACTTTCTAAAATTTTAACATACAAACTCTAGGAAAAGCTAAGAATCCATCACTGCTAAACCCACCATCCCACCACTGTCTCAACAGCTAATAAACAAGCTTTTTGGAAAATTCCGCTGCAGCTGGATGGGAATTTGCGTTCCATAAAAAATTATTCGGTTGCCGTACTTGCTGTTTGTGCATTTCTCATCAAAATTTAGTACATGATGACTGAAGTTGAAAAAGAAGAAAAGATTGGACAAACATGTTTTTCAAGTACCTGACCAGTGACCGTTATACTATAAAGTGCCTTCACGGGCGGGCACGGTTGCCATTCTTGCTGAACTGCCGGTGATTATTTGTAAAAGCCGATTTTTCGAAATTTGCTGCTTTATAGTTTTCAGGAGAAGAGGCTAAAAGCACAATACCTAAAAGAGCTGATCACAGTGAAAAACCAAGAATTGGCCAAAAAGTTGTGTGAATCCTTAGCCGCCTTTGCGAACATAATGCTCCAGGGGGCCATACCCCAGGAAATTGCCGACAAACTACACGGAGGAAATTTGTTCGCTTTCAGGAAGAAGGACAGCGGGATTCGCCCCATTGTAGTGGAAACGAGTCTACGACGTTTGGCCTCCCGCATCGTATCTTTTAGGTCGGGTCATTTGAACAACGAATTGCGGCCCTTTCAGTTGGTCTTTGCCACCAAGGGGGGTGTGGAAGCCGCAGTCCATGGCGCGCGCTACTTCTTGGAAACTGCAACAACATCGGACAAACCACAGGTTTTCCTTAAGCTGGATGTAAAGAATGCCTTTAATTCCCTTGACCGAAATCATATCATGAAAGCCACTGCAGAACACTTGCCAGCGTATAACAAATACGTGTGTCGTGTGGCAGTGACGCAGTGTTATGGCGCACCGACCATATTAATGCACGGCAAATATAGAGTGTCATCGCAGGCGGGCATTCAGCAAGGAGACCCCCTCGGCCCGCCTCGCCGCGTCCGATCACTTCGGCCGTGTTACATTTCGGCCGTACAGGTTCACTTCAGCCAACGTTCATTTCGGCCGTGGCTCACTTCGGCTAACACTCAATTCGGCCAGCGCTCATTTCGGCCACGGGACATTTCGGCCATCATAGGTGTCTTGAGTTTCCGACGTTTTCTTAAGTTTCTTAGGTTTCTTAGGTTTCTTAGGATTCTTAGGATTCTTAGGATTCTTAGGATTCTTAGGATTCTTAGGATTCTTAGGATTCTTTAGGATTCTTAGGATTCTTAGGATTCTTAGGATTCTTAGGTTTCTTTTAAACAAGAACTGCTAAAACAAATTGTGCGTGCAAAATGATAATTATGAACGCGGCCACTTTTATGATTCAATGGTTTTAAGTAACCGATAAACTTATATCGCAGGTAACATTTTCTTGTGAATCAAACTAAAATGAAGAGCGTCGGCCGAAATGTACTGTGGCCGAAGTGATCGGCGGCCGAACTGAATGACGGCCGAAGTGAATAACGGCCGAGGTGAATGGCGGCCGAAAAACTTTGGCCGAAATGAACGCGGCCGAAATGAAAACGGCCGAAGTGATCGGTAGCCCGATGTGTGCCCGCTTGCAACAGTTCCAAGCGCAGCGAGCGCAGATGATTTTAGGCCAATTTCCTTGTTATGCAATCTGTCAACGGGTGGTTGAACGCTGTGTGCAGATCCAACTGATGGACTGCCTGAACGCCAACGGTGTGCCTTCCAGTAGCCAGTCTGGATTTCGCCAGGAACACTCATGCGAACTAATAAAAGTAACGGAAGCGTGGAATCGCGTAATGCAATAATGGCAGGATAACCGCAATAACCTTCCTCGATCTGAAGAAAGCATTTGACTCACCACGAAAGGTTGTAATGCCAAAACTGCGGCAGACCGGAATTGAAGGCACTGTTTCAAAGTGGTTTCTTTCCTGCTTAACTGGCCGCCAGCAAAGAGCGAACACCAGCAAGGGCGTGTCCCACTGATTACCGGTTGAATCAGGTGTACGGCAGGGGACAAGACTCGGTCCCGGTGTTGTTACCTTATACAAGAACGACCTTTTGCAGAAGGACATTAACAGGTGTGAAACTGAGGCATTTGCGGGCCGGATGACATAATCATGCACGCAAGCGGAAAAACGAAGGTACGAGCGACTGAACGATTAAATGGCGGCATAATTGCCGCATCGCAGCATCGCGATTTCTGCATGCAGTGGCAGAAAGAAGCGGAAGTAGTGGCTCTAAATGGTGAGCATTTGACACTCAAGCAGCATGCGACGTACTATACCTTGGAGTCGAACTGGATTAAAATCCAAAATGTAGGGTAAGTAGTTCCAGAAAGCGAAGCGAAACATGAACTAGGACATCCAGAAGATTATACACTGTCAGCATCCACCAGCGAGTTACCCCTTGCCACGCCTTTGTCCAGCCACACATAAGTAATAGATTACTATGCGTTGGCCTGGTCAGCGGAGTCTTCGGGCGAGCAGGGGAAGCTGATTAAACGGCAACACGTAGTCTTGCGGACCCTCACCGGGACAGGATACGGGTAACGCCGAAGCTGTACGGTCAGCTGGGAATCACCCCAGCAGTAACACGATGGCGCCAAAAGTAAGCAGTGTGGCTATATAAGATTCGGAACCGGGACAGAATCGTGATGCCGTTGTATATGCTCGACTTGGCTTCCTTTCAAGGACACGAGTGCCAGGAACCATCTTCGCGCTGCGAAGCGCATTGGCGCCAGCGCTCGGCTGAGCATAGAAGCTGCCTCAAACTGGGAAGGACGACCTTGGGATGCGACTAAAGCAGTAGTTTGATAGAATAATGGATAGCAGGGAAGATATTTTTAACTGTGGCTCTGTCAACTGTACCTGGCTTTTTCTTCACTCTAAAACACTTCTGTAAATAGGTATGCTGGTGGCTCCGTTGATCCCCCTGATTTTTGTATATTATTGCGTATAATTTTCCAAATTAATTGTTTCTTGTTTAATCGTTTTCTATCTATGTTGCCATGTGGCATGTGCTGACCAGAAGCATGAGTGCCGCAGGGTTTGTCTGCCATGACCATTACAGTGTTTTGCATGGATCGCCGACATGTGCTGTACATGTGCGGATGCACTGGATAGTACTTCTCAAAGTTTGCGGAGGCCTGTAAAGCTGAATAAAGGGCACCGCGACATTTCGCCTAGGACAATTAGTCGAAGGACATTTGATCGTAGACGTTTAGCGGCAATTCATCTCGCCACGCGACATATCGTCACGGGGCATTTCGCCGGCAGGACAGCACGCCGCTAGACATTTCTTCGCGAGGCCGTTTTGAGGAAAACTCTAAGAAAATTAAAGAAAACTTAAGAAACCTGAATGAAAGAGGAAGCATAATAACATTTAAGTGAACATCAGACAACAAAAATTAAAGACCACATAAAAAACCTTAACATAAAAGCAGGAAAACATAAGCAAGCAAAAAAAACATAAGAAAACCAGAAAACATGTGAAAAATAATCGCATCGATTTCGTTTGCGGTGAACTGCCGCGATCAAATGTCTTTCGTCAAATATCGCGAAGATAAACCGTCTTAAAACTTTCCCAGTCTCTTTGTCGCTCTTCTGGATGTGGACAGTCTCCAGCTTTTGGTGATCTGAAACGCCGAATTCAAGGTCCGTCATACCACGAAATTAAACAGGTAAGCCTATTACGTATATCTTGGCTACATGAGAAAAATAAATAACTCAGTTATCCCCTAATTGCTGTCTTTTCAGTTGGTGAGTAATCCGTCAGCCTCTCTGTTACTTTTGTGCAATTACTGTACCGTCTATTGGAAATTGGCAGCTGTACTTAGTACAGGAGTTGTTGGAGCAAATCGTCGCGTCTCAGTCGAAATCGAGAGGAAGCACTTGGACTTCGTTTAATCTTCGAAATTCTGTTCCCTATTGTTAGAAAATGGCGTTCGAAAACACAGCGTGAAGGCATGCTGCTTTTAGTTTTGATCATAGTAATTTTAATTGAATTTGTAAAATTTTTTGTACGTTTATGTTGTATGTGCGACGTCGAAATCGTTCGTTGAATGGTGTACTTTCTCATGTAATTTCATGGCATGATTTTTGACAGATTTTATTTGTTATTCATTTTTTGGGTGCACAATGCAGCGTAGACTGTGTCGAAACCGGACGGCGAACGGTATTCTGATGTTCTATTAAAACCTACGAATGACCATTTTCTTGCCCCAACACAACCGTTTTTCCGCGCCAATACTGACCCATCGTGGGCTCAAAGTGCGTACAAATTAATGCGCGAAAATGTTCCCCGAGTAACGCAACCAACGATCAAGGGTCTGGTCATCTCGGGAAACCCCGCAGACCAGGCCTGGATGTATTGGGTGCCCTTTTGTGCGACCCTAAAATGCGACCCTAAAATGCGACCCTAAAATTGCCGGCTCATCGCGCAAGCAAATTACTTGTTTAGAACTGGGAGAGTCAAAACAATTAACTTGTAAGTTGCAAGGGCCGGTTCCGTAACACTGCACCTGCGTGTGACTGCAACTTCTTCCAGACGTTAATTTTCCACAATCTAATACTCCCGTGACAGTCACAAGTTTCACTTCCAGCCCTTGTCAGCTGATGGTAAGATATGTTATCTATGTATATAGTATCCGTATAGACGTTACATACAATACAATAACATACGCGCACACAGTAACAATGGTGTTATTTGGTGCTTAAACGTTAGTACGGAACCATAACTTATATTGTGCACTACATACAGTTTGCAGGTCAACTATTGTAGCTCATTATGAAGTGATTGTATGTTACGCATTGTGCTGTAAAAACATTCAAGTACTTTTCTTTATTCCGGATTTTGGCTTGTATACAATCCACCTCCCGCACCGGTGCGGGAGGTGGATTGTTCCTGCATAAGAAAGGGCATAATGATGAAATTTTGAAGCAGTATTTATCCCCATTGCATCGCTTCGTGCGTGCAATGGGGATCGGTGAAGGTGAAGGTGAAGCGTTGGCTGCGTGCACAGGTGACCTTTTTGAGTCCGCACGGGAGCTGGCTGCGTGCACGGGAAATCGTCACAGATTTTGGCTTGTATACACGGTTTCTACATTTACATTTGAACAGTTATTGAATATTTTTGGATTTTACTTTCTAACTTATAATTCAATAATTGTTTTTGACACTGGTGGCAGGGTCGAAAGAAGCCTAACCCGGAAAACCTAAAATTTTAAAAATTACCTTGATTGTGGCATACCATAAAATAGCGGCTAAAACGGCTGAAAAATCAGCCTTTGTTGAATACAGTCTGAAAACGTACATCGAATATTGGAACTGCATAAGCAGATGCCTGCAACTGACGATAATTCTATTAAATCCAGATATTCGACGAAGCTGGTATGGACTGAATCGTGGAGAAGCAACGACTGCTGACTGGTTACTTGGAGCATCTGCTCAATGCTGCTGTTTGCGGGAATCGCAACGGTTCACCTCCCCTGGTAACGATTTTCACCCCAGCTGATCCAAAGGAGCGCGGCTCCTAGTTATCTTTGACATTTCGGACACCGATCAGAACATTAACCATGAACTGGAGCGGCGTGGGGTTGTGGTATGCGCAGAGTTTTGATTAATGAATGTTCAAATGGTGGCAAATGCCGGCAAACTGTTTCAGTGCGATGTCCGTGAACCTTGCGTACTGAGACTGGCATCAGCGCCTTTATATAGTTTTTTCACCGATCTTTACGTTTCATTGCGATTTTACAAGAGGTTTTGGCGGCTTTGGAAGACTCGCCTTCATAAACTATAGTCAGTATTGATCGACGGATACATACTCAATTTTACCCATATCTATAATAATAATTCTATATTACCATACGTATACGTACAATGGGATCGACTGGAATTGTCTCCTTGTAACTTACCTAACTTTAGGTTAGGTTTTGTAAGTACTTACGACATTTTCTCTCAAATACAGATTGTGTTCTAATCCTTCTGCACACATTCTCTGTACAAAGACAAATATCCCTATTCAAACTGGAAAACTTGAAATAAAAACAAAAGGTGACCACTCCGTACACAACCTTTTGCACTACATACTTGTACCACTCATTCCGTGCACAACCTTTTGTATTTAAAAATAAAAGGTAGTGCACGCAGATAAAGGTAGTGCCGAATGTTTGGGTGGGTTTGGGTGTGCAACTGATGCTCCGCTTTCGACTCACATACCTTCGACACGACGAATGCATCTCCATTTGCTGCATGAGATGTCCCTTTTCTCATATTTTATTTACATAAGAAAGTGATAATATTACAATTTAATTACACGGCTGCCCCGGATTGGCAACCTCTACGTAATTTTATAGTGTTCTCTGCGATGACTTTCAGAGTAACCCTTCTAGTTAGCAAACGGTAGACAGCCGGAGTACTGGTGATCGTCGGGATCAATAAGTTGTTCCCAGACATGCCAAGCTCCTTTCGCAAATAAATGCTGTTTTAGGTATATCGATTTATTTTCTGCGACTGTTTAGCCGAGACACGCAACCGAAAAAAACTGATAATATATGTATAGTTATGTAAGCACGGCGCTGCGCGTATATTGGCGAATATAAGAAATTGATTAGGTGATTCAGGTTCGTTTGACTGTTAATTACAGTACTTCGCGAGGCCACTACGTAACTGAAGGAGCGTAACTGGTCTTTATATAAGTATCAAGAAAGATACAATAGATCTGTATTTTGATCGGCCGCCCCGTGCAACATGGCTAGCAAAAAACCGCCAAGTATGTAAATTACAAAACCGACATCACCATTAAAACCGACATCACCATTAAACTCAGCTTGTTCCAAAAGGGTCACACGTGCATTTTGTTTTCAGAAATGTCTGTCCCGGGACAATCGCTCGGATGCCGGTACCGGTACAGACATGAGTTCAAGGTGACCTACTTGAAAGACCATTTACAACATATTGCTGCGTGGACTAACGAATATTCTGATTATCAAGGAACTAGATCTATAATACAACTACATAAAAATCTGAGGCAACGAGATCGGGAAAACTATAGCATATCGGAAAAAACTGTAAACGCCATTAGATTCAGCATGTTCAGGAACTGTGTCACATGCATTTTATTTCTTAAAAAAATTATTTAAACCCGTCCCAACGATGCCGGTTCCGGCGAAACTGGCTTCCGTAAAGCTTTCTAGGTGACCTTGAGATTACTACAGTGCTTAGAACGTTTATTAAAGAACCAAATATGTACTATAATAAATTTGTAGTTATTTTGCAGGCATGCTAAATTTTAACCGCCTGATTGCTATTGAAATGTTCAAAGGTTCAAATGTTCAAATGCCTAAAAAAATCCGATTGCCGAACCATGTTTGAATTAGCCCAGGTTTCGAAGGAAACAAAACTCAGTGAACAAACCTGCTCTAGTAGTGAGTGACCCAGCTACTACCACTGTTCAGTGAACAAAATGAAATCGCTTGGTGAGTGATAACCGAGCAATAAATCGCTAGGTGAACAAAATTGCTAGGTAAGTGAGTGACCGAGCTACCACCACTGTCCAGTAAACAAAACCGCTAGGTAGGTGAGTGACCGAGCTACCACCGCTGTGCAGGGAATAAAATCCCTAGATGAGTGAGTGACCGAGCGTCTAGACTCTTTACCTAAAAGTTTTACAATAACTGCTAAGAAATTAACTAATTATTGAATAACTAGTCAGTCAGTGAATTTAGTAATTAACTACTTAGTGAATTTAGTCAGTTTACCGAATTACTGTAAATGCAATGATTTGTTCAAAGCGGCCGTGGATCACAAGAAACGCGAAGGCGAAGCCGAAGCGGTTTCTTGTATTCAAATAGTGTAACAAGTAATCGAACTGATTGTTTTTTAATTACCTTCAAAAAAAAGTTACGATAAATGTGAACTGAAGAAATTCATTGGACTAGCACCGAAATTTGATGGCAACGAAAATCAAAAAATTGCAAATATTAACTGTATACACTCCATTTCATTAATTATCTGTAATACCGAAATGATCAAAATTCGAAAAATTTTATCGTCCAGAAGCCTCCATAAAAGAAAGGTGTGCCGGTACATGATACCACACTGATGTGTTTACAAGCACTTAAACTTTCGTTTTCGCGCGCTCTAATAAATTGTAAATACATAAGATTTCCAAGGAAAATAAATTGTAAAAGTCATTTTTAAAATTGGAAAAGAATTGTGGAACCCTGATTCAGGGTAAAACTCTAGTGGCCATCAGCCAACCTGCTGGGAGTCAATCCGTTAAATACATATCATCACAAAACAAACTCAAGCTTTAATTTTAACGCTTCAACACTACAGCGCCATGTAACTACATGCCAGTTGGCACTGAAATTCGTCCGCGGTATTTATACCAGAGCGGCCGCCGGTAGTCTGATTAACGCATTTAATGCCAGACTGCCAGTTAATTAGCGGAGTTTTCATAAGTTCCGCTGGTGACCATCAGATTTCGCATGCTCACCAAAGAAACATATCTGTCACGACTTGCAAAACTCAAATATGTACAGTTGTATGCCGCCTGGATGGAAACCTTGCCAGTGTTCCCACAGGATTTGCATAGCCAGTCGCGACGTCCGGTGTCATAATTGAAGCGCATTTAATTTTCGTGACTTTGATTTCAAACTCTGCGCGAAACGCTTGGACGTAAACAAAGAGGGTAGGTAATTGACGTTTTTCATAGATGCGTAGATATTGATAGATCATACATTCAATATGTGAACGAATGCCGCCGCAGCAGAAAAACTCATAAATCATATTCCTAAAGGCTACGAGTAATTATGAACCTTTGTGTGCATCCCTAATTGGTGGATAAATTCGAACTAGACGCCCGTAAAACACCGGAAATCAAATGCCATCGTTATAACTCCGTACTCGGGCTACGCATAATTGCCGAAGAAGGATGGTAAAAAAACTTCCGTTGGATATCTTATGTAATATGTAGATTGGAATAACTGTATAACCGTATACATATAGTGATGTTCCGGTTAATTTACGTGGATGCTTTACTGCGTTTTTCCAATTCTTTCTTATTGCACGCATTACGGCACAGTATGCAGACTGTTGTGGACACCGTATAGTATGTATTTACGAATTACTGTAATGGTCTGCAACTCGGTATACAGTCCTCAAACTTGGAATCTCTAATGTGCGTATTCAAAGTCTGGTTAAGCTTCCGATAATACGAAATGCTATGTGATTACAGAGTAGGTGGTAAAGCGGCATGTGCGAACAGTTGTATTTACAAGCTCAACCTCGGCCTCCGGCCTCGGTTGAGAATTTTTAGAATTGAAGAAAGCAATGTGGTAGTTTTATAAAGGCTTAGGAAATTAAACAGCAACCACAGCAAAAAAAAAGAGTTTTCCTTCCCGATTCGGGTACAGAGGGTGAGCCACCCACATTGGCACACTTTTGGTAGGAAATTATTTGTGACTTTTGGACTCGAGTCCTGTTAAATCCGCTGATGCAGTTTTTTCCCTTAGCTCTCTGTGAACGGAAAACAACTAATTTTCCATGAAGATTTTGCGCACACGTGGCATAAAGTGACCACAAGTGTCCGCGACCGGCGAAAAAAACGCAGACAAAACGTTTCACTTTGTATTTTTGTTTTTAAATGATTATTAAATGAAGCAAGCATTTTTTTGTCACATTCAGTTTTTAATTTTAGAAGATTTTAAGGGCTATATGAAAAAGTATAATGTTGTGTGAAAACCTGTTTCAGGATCCCGAGGGAAAAAAACAAAAGTATTAAAAAATTGGGGATTTACACTTTCAATGAAGCGGCTGGCTTTTGCAGTGGGAAACTCGTGGCAAAAAAACCGGCGATGCCGATTTCGCTTTGATGTAAAGAAATAATTATTTAGACAGGCTTGTAGAAGATATTCTATGAAATTCCGGACGAACGGACAATTTGTTAGAGAATGGCAGATGTTTCTGGACTTCCGGTCAGTTTTGGGAGCCGACGTCCAGAAAAACTCAACCATGGCTTTGATCAAAACCGAATTACACTTATCTTAAAGAGAATTGATTATTTAACATTTTAATGCATTTCGTATGTACTGATCGGTAAAGGGGGAATTTTAGGAATTTGTTTTGCGAAAGGCATTCCAGTTTTGAAACGCACTGTTTTACTACCCCGCTCCAGGTTTTTCTTCCTGGATTTTGAAAGGCATCCTTTACTAAGCTCAGATAAATTTATCAAGTACAAAATACCCCAGGCTATCGGGTAATGTTTTTGAAAAAGTTGTTGTAGACGAAAGGAAGTTTTAAAAAATCAGTTTGTGCAGTGTGCCAATGTGGGTGGCTCACCCTCTGTACGTCAAGTTTCAAGGTGAGATCGTGTTGCAATTACATTGGATAACACTTTAACTTGGCTGATACAGTAAACGAACATATGCATAGCTAAGATTTTTAACAAGCCCAGCACGGATGAATATTCGCCGATGACTATTAAAAAATTAATAAGTAATTCTAAGGATGTGTTGCTTTGCGGTCGCTTACAGACTGTCATAATATTAATGAACCCGTACGTATGTTTAGTAATATTATGATACACTTTACATAAGTTAATCGAAACACGGACTGCCTTCTTGTACATACAGTACATAACTTCCAATGATGACTAACGCAGTGATGACTGACGTGTTAAGTTACTTACATAAATTTTTTACTTTGTATTGTACTCGTACTTATTGTTAAGTAGCAGCTCAGATATTGCTACTGTTCTGGGTCAAGTTGTGTTAGAACAGTGTGCATTTCTTATCGCGTCCATGGTAACAAGCTTATGATTGACCACTGGACCTAGACAAATGATTTGGGCAAAACGTCAACAATCTTGGATCCACCGCTACACCTAGAGAGTTTTGATGTACTTTAAAGCAACAAAATTGGTGAAGTATAAGCCGAGATCCATTGCCTCAAAGGACAGGGCCGAAGTCCTGCCACAGATAATCAGTATTCATATAATTACACGATTTATGTCCACTAGAGCGCTACCGAGTGTGCTGTGCAGGTAAGTACTAAGTACAATACACGTATTGAATAATTCCTCGGTACCGGGTACGTGTTATTGGTGTTAACATATGCAAAGATGGTGCAATAACAGGAGATTTGCACGAAGTTTCTAATTTCTGTCACATATTTAGAAACAGTTTTAGTAATTTTAATTTTGTAGTCTAAAGCAAGTATGCCATTAACCCGCTTTCAGCGCCTTAAGGACAGATTCAATGATATTTTGCTGATAGATTGATAATTTCAGTCGTTTTACACATCCTCGCAGCAACGTAACAATTTTGTTCAAAGTGTTTTTATCATGCACTTACGCGCAAGGACAGGTCTTACACTCTTTTTAAGCTAGTAGCGCCGGTCGTCCATCGTTCGCACAACACTCTCCGTCCACACGACATTATGACATCAGGCCACTTGAGTCGGCCGGTGGACGTCGGCATTCGAAGTGTGAATGCTTCTATCCCAGTCAATCCCAGATTCCCCAAGCAAACTACAACACAGTTTCCTCGTACTTAAAGTCACGGGATAAACAACACAACAAATCATGAGTGAGAGTAAATAACTTTGATAAAATAACACTGTTATAACACTTATGGTGTACTACAAAAGTGTTTCTAATATGCATCAGGTTACGGTAGCAGGTTGGTGAGCAAAAAAACATGATCACACCATAATTTATTGCATGAATTAATTACTATAATAGCTGCTCGACGCACAATGAACGGTTAAAGTGTAAATTTTCGAAGCGTATAATTACAAGCAAACGCACGCGGCTGTTGATTCCTGAGGAGCTGCGAGCAACAGCGGATGCCGGCGAAATGGTATACTACTACTGAACGGCCAATGCGCACAATAAATACCCCTGCCGCTGGTAGTAAATGGGAATTGGTGCGGCTGCGTGTAACCAAGGACCCAATGATTATCTGTACATCGCTGTTTTTAGTGGCTGAAATCGTTGCCGGCTTTTCTGCTCGTTTTTGGCGCGTAATATGCCGCATGTAGTAACCTGAAAAATCCCTGCTGTTAAAAATAATAAAATACGAATCGTGGCATCAAGCAGTAAGTACAATATGTATTTACCCATTTACAGGTATAGGAAAGTAGGTATTAGTTAAACGTCTGACGCTATTAAGGTAAGCACAACTGCACAAGCTGTAAATAATTCCAATAATTTCGAAAAACAATTCATAAGATCATGATTCAGCATTTCGGCTCGCATTCTTCTATGTGCCTAGGAGCGAGATTGTTCAGAAATTAATAATGGCACACTGGCAGTAGGAAATTGCCTAGCTTGAGTCCATCCGGAAATTTGTTTGCATTTAATCCGCTTAAACATTTTGTGCGAAAAATGAGAAAATGGTAAAACTACGAATCAACCGCACTGGACAGCATTGGTAGCTCGATCACTCGTTCACATAACGAGATCCGTGCGGTGGACCTTTATTACGTACTGTAACCGTGCGGTGGACTACAATACTTCTATACATAATAATGTACAGTCTACAATATACAAGACATACACAGTCTAACACAGAATACACAGTCTACAAGAAAAAAGCCCTTTTTTCTGCAGCTGTTTCTTTCGAGTATTACAGTGTGTATTTCTAATTTTTAACAGAATGTTGGGATCGACGCAAGCGGTTTTGCATCTCACAGTCAAAGTTATGCAAATGTAGCGAATACAGCTTAGGACAAAATGGTCGCATACCCAACATCTCCACATTCAGAACGAATGCAGCGCAGTGCACTGTACGACTGAGTTCAAAATATCCGTTTCGTACAAGTGCACTGCACTGCCTGCGTACAGAATGCTGGGTATGGGGCTATGCGACCATTTAGTCCTACATTGTAAGCGGTTTGCTTGCACCGGGCTAGTAGAATTAAATATCTGAAACATAGTAAATTGTTAACAAACAGCCTTTAATTTTTTAATTTTTTTCACAGTTTTTCAAGGTGAAATTTATTCTAGCGTTTTATATTCACGAAACCGCTTGGTTCAACCACCTTAAAATGGTACTGTAGATTACAGTACTCCTATCGAAATTTACGGTACCCAAGAATTCATTTATTGCGCATGTTTTTTTTACGAACACTACCGGTAAGCGAACGAACGCTATCAATAATTCATTCATATTCATTCATACTTATATGTCGGAGTTGCAAGCATCCGCGTAAGGAAGACAGTTTTTACGCATCTGCTTACGCAAGAGCTAAAGCGAATTTAGCGAATTTCAAGGCAGACCAATCTGCTTTAGCTTTAGATAGGCAGACTCTAGGACCGCTAGGTTACATCAACTTATTAAATTAAAGTCGCGAGCGGACGTAGATCAACCCGCAACTTGAGCTTTCATACCGAAGATCAACTATACGGAAGCTGGACTGTGCAATCTGAAATAAAGCTACTACTGGCACGGAAGTGACGGAACGTACGAAATCGTATATCACCATCTGACAGCGTTTTGTTTGTTCGGTGCAGGCTTGCATTGCAGTAGTTGGCACTGGCAGTGGCACTGCAACAGCGGAACACTCGTGTGTCGCTGAGTCGACTATACATCGCCATAGGCCCAGACTCCAACTCTGACTCTGATTCTGACCACTCAAACTCTGACTCTGACTACTCAAAGTCTGACTCTGACCGCTCAAAGTCTGACTCTGGTTCTGAAGGTTTCTTAGGTTTCTTAGGTTTCTTGGGTTTCTTAGGTTTCTTAGGTATCTTAAGTTTCTAGGTTCCTTAGTTTTCTCAGGTTTCTGAGGTTGTTTCTTAGGTTTCTTAGGTTCTTAGGTTTCTTAGGTTTCTAGCTTTCTTAGTTTTCTCAGGTTTCTTAGGTTATTCTTAGGTTATTCAGTCAGAGTCAGAGTTTGAGCAGTCAGAGTCAGAGTCAGAGCTTGAGCGCGGGCCCAGACGCACATGCTGAAAGACGACGTAAAAGGAATCTGTATATATTAAAAGAATAAGACTTTCAGAATTCCATTTCCATACAGTTCGCCAGGACTCTACACTGAACCAAACTTCGATGGCTATATATCATTCGATAGCCCTAAGTTTCTATATTTGCCATCACAAGTCTTTTTTCAAAACAAAAGTAAGGTTTGAAAGAAAAGTTTAAAAGAACCTAACATGGAAAGTCTATGGGAAAAGTGTAGGACCCACCACTGAAAAACCATCACCCCACCACTGCCCAGGAGAACAAGGCAATGTTTGACAAAGCAGTGAAAGCACCTAGAAAGGTGCAATGGATGAAGTTTTAAGGCCTATGTATCATTCAAAAGCCCTGAATTTATAGATTTTACCTTTAAAGCACGGTTATAGAGGGAAACCAGGATTTGACAAGAAAGTCTCATTTCGAAAGTCTGTAGAACACTAAGAACAGTCGAGGTTCTCATTTCCAAAACTCAGTTTTTAAAGTACTCGTATCCGCCCTACACAGCGCGGGTTATCAGTCCAAAAGTTACTGTGCTCGCAGCATTTTCGCTACGATGCAGCAGCTCCACCACAACTGCAAGAAATGATTTTTATAGATACTTTTTCTTCCCGATGTTTTTTTTAATTGTTTAGTAAGTTTGAGCTGAATAGAATAAAAATACTAAATTTGTAAATCCTAAAATCCTGTGACAGCCGAATTTGCGCAATTTGCTACTCTTTAATTTCATGGGAAAAGCCGCTCGAGGTTTAACTCCTACGAGATTCGAAACTCTAATTTTATCAGTTTGTAACAAAAGCAGTCCGCAAAAGTCAAAACGCGCCGAGTTGTGGCGTGATGGACCTCGCGGAGTAGCAACCGAGGCAATCTGGGTAACGGTGAAAACGATTTATAAGCATCTTAATTGACATTGTCACTTTATCAAATAAATTAAAAAGTGTTTTAGTGGTAATTACACTGTTTTGTTTTGAACGCGAAGCATTATAAAAATATTGTACGTAATGTATTCGTATTGATAACAGATAAACGTATCGACAAGGGCACCACCGGTGGTTGACTGAATAAAGTTATAAAGTTGAATTAAAAGGAAGGCTGATATCTGAAAGGCATACAATGCTTGGAAATAAAAAAATTAAAAAACTGCAAAGCTTTTAATAAGCTTCTAATTTTATCGGTAGTTGATCTGGAAAAAATGGTTCTACCGGCAAAGCTGAAACCTGAAAAGGATCTGTTTACGGGGAAAAATTTTCATTTTTGACGTTATCTCAGGCTTGACAATTCTAACTGAATCTGTAAGTGCAGTCGGCGGGACGAGAAAATATCTACACAGATTGTGTTTTGAAATAGACATTGTAACTGCGAAGTTGATACGAGTATTTCTCTGTGAAGGTTAATTATCCCACATTTCGCTCTTAGAAGTTATGAAAGCACAGATACATGTCTTCTTGAGTTTTGCAATAACTTATGATTTCTCCATCGCTGATTCATTCCGCGCAGTTTGCGCGGGGTCTACTAGTAATTACTATTACCGTATATCGCCGGTTTCAGTGCACTTTATCATTGTAATCCTTTTGTTCGCCATACACTAAGCTATTTATGCACAGCTGAAATAAAATATGTAGAGTTGATACATGATTTGGGAGTGATTTCGTTTTCAACCCGAGACTGAGAGGACAATCGATTACAGCGAACATCACGTACAGGCTACATCACGTACTCTGTATACGCAGTGTTTACATTGTCCGTATGCCTGTACCGGAAGTTTGAAGGGAAAATATAAATAATTATATCGAAAAAGTTTTAGACCCGAAATTTCGACCGCCAGATATACTTGTGCGGGTCATCGGGGGTGGGTTTACTGATCTACAGATTTGTTCTTAACTTGTTGATGTGCATGCTTTTTATACAAAAGCATGTTCTGGAGGCTTGAGTTTCCGGTGTCGGCGAAATTGTGAACGTGTCTCACTGGTCAGCCGTTAACATCGGTGCCACCAATGTACAGTAGTGTGCGCAGCCACCATGTAGTGTAGTGGCAGCCAAATGAACGCCCATCGTCTTAAGTTGGCCAATTGTTTTTTGTGCACATAGGGTACCTAGATTTCTAGAACCTTTAATTATTGATCCATCATTTAGCTTGTGATAATCTTTTCCCCTTGTTGTTTCACTCGCTCTTCCATTTTGCTATGTATTGACTGCGATGTGTAAGTAATATTGTCATATTCCCTTGTTGTAAAGGGAACACCGCCCGCTGCACGAAGACATTACCATACATTACTTTATTTACTAGTACCATAAAATTTTATACGTACTCCGTTGTAACGGCAGCTTAATGAAAAAAAAAACGTTTACTCACATCCTTAGCCACATGGATTAAGTCAACCAACAAACTTGTAAGTTATAAGTTATAACTTATAACTATCAAGCAACGCCACAAAATTAATGTAAGGATGAAGCATGAAAATGAGTGATTATTGCTTAGCGCTTGCGTTTCATTATCAGTCCCAACAAAAGCCCGTGTAATCCGGAACGTAAAAAGGAGCGCCATCCGACGTCAAGTTCCAAACTTGCAAAGGCATGTTCCACCGGAAAGACACATCCATCACATTCATTCCTCAGCCTGCGCAATCTGGGAATCTCCATCACAGCATCCTCCATCCATATCACAATCACCAAACAGGAAGAATCGGAAAAACTGTTCCAATACGTATCTATCCCTTTCAAACCTTGCCACACGAACCTCCAGTTGAGTGCGTGATGTACCCGAAAACGTTCGATTCGAGTCATGCAACGCATCAGTATAAACAGAAACCAATAAACTCGTACATTGTCACATTATGAGCACAGTAAATAAACGCTTGATTGCTTAACTTAATGGCAGTGAATTTACTAGGCAGCATAGTCGAATGATCAACACATATATTATAATGAAATTAAACTGGAAAAGATGTTGCGTTGGAGATGCGAAGGCGATCGAACGGCGCCCCAGACAGCTATAATCATCCGGCTAGCAGATCACCGTAAGCGGGATAGTGATTGTGAATAATTAAAAAGGGTTTAAAGCAACAGCATAGTGCAGCTGGACGGCCGGTTAACCTGTTTCCTTCCATGCGAGTATAACTCAGAAGAATACAGTCGACATCGTTATGATCTGGTCGAACTACATATTTCCACTGGAATAACGAAATTACGAAAAGTGTCTTGTCCCGCTGTGCCTGTCAAGAGATTCTCCCTAAAACATCCCCTGGAGCCGGCGGCTGCCCAGCTGTCATTCATGACCGGTCCGAACGAGTATTGTAAGGAACTATCTATCTCCCAGTCTGTGCTGAGGTTAAATGCTCCATTTGCCATTATGGGGAGGTTTGGAAACATGCTGGATCGATTGCTGTTAAATGCCGAAAACGCCGACGATCCCGACTTCGACCAACATCCCCACCAACTACAGAAATTGCAAATATGCGTTTTCGTATGCTTGCTTTCCTTGTACTTTGGGATGTGCTCTCGTAATCCGGCTTCGTCGTGGAACATTTTAAAGCAACTGTAACACCGGAACGGTTTATCCGTCTCGTGACATCGGCTGTGCGATTGCAAATTCGACAGCTGGGAAAAGGCATCCAGCAAAATAGCAGCGGTAAGGGTAAGGTTTGTCGCCGGTGTGGGTGCGGAGATGCTGTTGAAGATGGAAAAGCTGCGTGAAGCATCGCTTGCACATATTGCAGGTGTATGGTTTCAAGCCGAGATGGATGCGCATGTGGGCCTAGACTCCAACTCTGACTCTGACTCTGATTCTGACCACTCAAACTCTGACTCTGACTACTCAAAGTCTGACTCTGACCGCTCAAAGTCTGACTCTGACTCTGAAGGTTTCTTAGGTTTCTTGATAGTTTTTTTAGGTTTCTTAGGTTTCTAAGGTTTCTTAGGTTTCTTAGGTTTCTTAGGTTTCTTAGGTTTCTTAGGTTTCTTAGGTTTCTTAGGTTTCTTAGGTTTCTTAGTTTTCTTGGGTTTCTTGGGTTTCTTAAGTTATTCTTAGGTTATTCAGTCAGAGTCAGAGTTTGAGTAGTCAGAGTCAGAGTTTGAGCGGTCAGAGTCTGAGTCAGAGTCAGAGCTTGAGCGTGGGCCGCGCATGTGCTGACTGAGATAGCTGGCATTGGCAGAAAAGGTATCATCCCATTTCGCCAACCGGACATTTCGCCAACGGGACATTTCGACAACCGTATTTTACTTACTTTCTTTGGTTTTCTTAGGTTTCTTAGATCTTTCTACTTTTCTTAGTCCTCTTAAGGTTTCTTAGATTTTCTTAGGTTTTCCAAGGTTTTCTTAGGTTTCTTAGGTTTTCTTAGGTTTCTTAGTTTTCTTAGGTTCTTAGATTTTCTTATCTGTAGATATGCTAAAATTTTTTTCAGCTCTCTTAGGTTCTGTTCGTAGGTTTTATTTGCTACTTTTTAAATTTTTCGAACCGTTGGGC